TTCCTATTTTAAGGGTCGTAAGGCTGAAGGTAGAATTTGACCCCAATACAGTATAGTTTGTAAGACCACAAGACCAAGCAAATTCTAGAGCAACAAAGGGTGGTCTTCAGTGCAGGTCTTGAAGGGATACCTGGAACACTCTTGCTCTGAAAGGTTTGCCATGAAACTGCATATCTTTAACTCATAGAAATTTTACTCCCTGGACTTGTTACAAATAGCTATTGCTATTTCCCTGTCTTTGAACAATGGGAGTCAAAGCAGCGTTTGGCTTGCTTTATAGACTATGTGCTTGGTACTTCCAAATTTAAAATTGATGGTTCCAACTATTTCAGAGACCTCTTAAGATGTGGATGGGTTATTTTGTTCCTCTTTGACACTGAGACTTTTGAATCTGTCATGAGGGAGTTGAACCTATAGTCAGAATGAGAGCAGCAGCCTGCTTTACATTCTCCTCTTGTGTTACCACAACTCTCCAAAATGTCAACAGATAAGACCTCATTTTACTTCTCCTGGAGGAGAAAAAAAAAATCTTAAAGCAAAACCAAATTCTGGGGTTGGTGACAAGTAAATGACCTAAGAAATTTTTGGATCTGCATACATTAAATTAGACAATGTCTGAGAACTTTTAACAAAATATGCTATCACAAAGACAAATAATTCATCAAAAGATTTCTGTTAGTTCACCCTTTTATATGAGAAACAGATCAGAACTTTAAAAAAAATTCTCTCCTTTTCTCCAGTTCACCTTGACTTCATTTTAGTAAACTATTGTAATAGTTTTAGGACTCACACGGCTGTTACAAATGACAAAGGTTTCCAATAGTCAATTTTGGTGTTTAACATTTTTTCCCACTTTACAGCCAAACTACAATCTTGCCAGACCAAAGATTATCTCTGAAGACTCAAAACCTGCACCTCCAGACTGAGACTCTTGGGCATCATCTCCTTAACAAAGTCCCAAGTGCCAAGCCCTTCTGAAGGGCACCAGCGTCCAAACCGTCTGTCTATCTTGGCAGATTTCTGCCTCCTTAGCTTACTGCTAGACATTTCACTGAAGAGGAACAAGACCAGATTTCTCAACTGAGCTTTTCATGTGGGTGTTGACTACCAAAAATTTCAAATAATCAACAGATATTTATTCAACTTCTAGTCTGTAAAGCACATTTGTGCTGGGCACTGTGGAAGCAAAAACAGACTTAACTCCTGCCTATTTTTCACTAACAGAAAAAGAAAAATAAACATATGGTAGAATAAACAATCCATTGCTGGGCTTGGTGCTGTGGGCCTGTAATTGTACCACTCTGGAGGCTGAGGCAGGAGGATTGCTGCCGGCCTGAACTGTATAAATGAGATCCTGTCTTTAAAAGCCATAAATAAATAAGTAATTAAGCCTTCAGTTAAATAATTCAAGATATGTTAGAAGGCAATGTATGATTAACTATCAGATGGGCTATATACTATAAATATTAGAGGAGATTAAAGAGATTGTTGATTCATTCATTAATCATGTGTTATTATTTATATTCAGCCAGGCTTTTGTCCTCCTTGTATATTTCCTTGAAACTCCACACTCCTATTTCCATGTATAGACTTTAGATTCCTTCTCTCCTACGCTCCTTTACTTGTTCTCTTCCCTGTCTGAAGTAAAACTTGATTCTGCTGGACATTCAAGCCAAAAACAACACAGCCAAGCTTTTTCTCACATCTGTTCAACTCACAAACAAAACCTACTGGCTGAAATATACCCAGAATGCAATCGCTTGTCACAACTTCAAGAAACACTCTATAGGTCTTTTGCTGGCATCTTTGCAACAGTGTCAATGGTCTGCCTGCCTTTTTTAAGTTTTTGAAGTCATTGGCCCTGTTACTCCCCTGCTCAAGGCCTTGACAGTCAGGATAGCATGGTTAATGCAGCACAAAATATTCACCAGGCACCAGGAAAGCCCTTTGCATGTATTAACTTACTGAATCCCTATACTACCCCACCTAGGAGGGACTCGGTATTTTATCAATGAAGAAGCGGAGGGATAAGATGGCGGAGTCACGTATCAGGGCAGAGAGAGCAGATTCAAATTCAGACCTGTGGGCTCTACATTGCAGATGCTAAACGCTGTGTGTGCTGTCCCTGGGCTGCTTCTTCACTCTTGGTACATGTCCACCTCTCCCTAACAGCCTTTGGACCCTGCCATGACCTGTCCCCACTGTCCTCCCCTTCCACTCTCTTCTCCTTAGTCCCTAGCCCACTGTCCTTCACAAGGCCAGGCAGCTGAGCTGCGGCTTCTGCAGCAGCACTCTCCACAGCATGTGGCCTGGCTGAAACTCTCATCTCCATCTGTCCTCAGATGTCACTTTTTCAGATAGGTTGACCCTGCCCACCCAACTGAACTTCTTACCAATGTAGCAGGCCCCATTCTGATCACTTGTCATATATTTTACTACACCCAAGTAAACAGTTGTTGAAATTACTCTCCCCATTTCACAGATGATGAAAAGAGACATGGAGATCTTAAAAATCATTCACACAGCAGATAAGTGATAAAAACATGATTCCAACTTCAATTCTGTGAGTTGAGTCTGTGACCTTACAAAAAAAAAACCTTCAATGTATAAAATTTGGTGACCAATAGGAAAAAACTAGGTAAGAAAGCAAAATCAAAATGTGTTCAGTAAGAAGATGATGAACAAACACAAAATCATGAGGCAGGAGGAGAACCTAGGCTCTCACCCTCCTGAACTGCACAGCATGACTCATGGGGCGACCCAATGTGCTCCTCCATCAGGGCCACCTGGGACTGTTCACCCCAAGTGTACATTCCCAGGCTGTACCCTGGATGTGCTCATAGGAATCATTCCTGCCAGCAGCTCAGAATCTGAATGAGCTACATAAAAAAGAACCTCTAGGTGATTTTGAAACACATTAAGAGTTTTGAAGAAGTACTATGTTGGAAAATAAGAAATAATCTACTTATTTAAGTTTGTGTACTAAATATTACTGTCCTAATACAGCATTTCCATGACCACAAGACTTGCAAAAGTGCTTTCACCTTAAAACAAAGCAATTTAAAGAAGTGACCTTTGATGATTTCATTTCTTGGTGGATTCCTAGTATCCAGAACTGTGCTTGGTACACAGTGAGCCTTCAGTAAATAATGTTAAAAGTGTGAACTCTGCAGTGTCCCAGAGGGAATTTCTGAGATGCACAATGATCCTGTATACCCGCATTTTACTCTGAGTGGTGCAAGGTGTTTTTTTTTTTTAAAAGAAAACTAGTTATCAGTTTTATCATTAGTATTTTCTTTGAGTACAAACAGAATACAAAGTATACTGGGCTTTGAAATCACTGAGCTAAGTGTGGTTTGTGATGCTGGCGTTTAGCAGCTGTGTGATACTAACAAGATATGCAATCTCTATGAACCTCGCTTCAGGAAATTCATTAAAAATTTTTCAAAACTCTCTGATTGACATAAGAATGTACATATTTCCAGGGTGACCATGTGATCTTTCAGTACATGTATACACGGTATAATGTTCAAATGAGGATAATCATGTTTACTTCCTCAAACACATCATTTGTGATTAAAATATTAAAATTCTTCTGGATTTTTAGAGTGCATAGTACAATATCATTACTTGTAATACCTTCTTTATGAGTCCAATTGTTGTTAAAGGAATTGTATGAATTTTAAAAAATCCTTGAAATGTTAAGAAATTATTAAATAAATTTAAAATTTTTTATTCTGAAATATTTTCCTTCTTTGTAGCTAAAAATTTCTTAATAAGTAAAATTTAAAAAATATTATTTTATTATGTGAAGTGGCATAAACAACATACATAGTTATAGTATTTTAATGTTATTATCAAAAGTTGTACTGCTATGCAAAGATCTCTTTGACCTTTGAACTCTCACATCTTTTTATAATTTAATTTGGGAAAACTTACAGCAGTAATGAGTGTGACACTGTTCCTACTTAATGTTTCTACTTAGAGATAATCATTGTCCCAAATTCAAGAGCAGTGTTGCTTTTTTTAAGTCAAATACTGATTTGTTGAAGTTGGCATGAAATTTTAGCTTGGTATTCTGCCACTTAAAAGTGCAGGCTCAGCCCAGTGACCTTCATTTGCAAACAGTGTTAACAGGTATTTTTCATTCATTATTTACTACATCCTTGACAGACGAACTTTGAAATTAAGACAAAAAGCCAACTGCGCTGAATTTAACCTGAGTTCAGTGCCTTCCGAAGTTTAGAAACTTTAACACATCACCTATGTCTTAATGGGATTTCAGTGACTAAGCAGGTCTATTCTTAACCTAAAGTAAGGAAAGACTCTATTCTCTACTTTTTTTTCTCCTAACTAAACAATTACACAAAGAAACAACAAGAGTGTTGTTATTAAGGCATAGGCTCCCCCAAAAAGTCATTTAGCAAGTGGCTAGAAAAAGCTGTCTAAATGAAACACCATGAATTCCCCAAAACTCTCAATATTTTATGTTGATTTTATGCCTAAGTGAAGCATTTTGAAACAACATTTCTGTGACAGAATCAGAAATAAAAGCCACAAATATCTTGAAGTTAGAAATCTATCAACACCTAGATAACTTGATTGTTTACATGTAAACTAAGAATATCCATTTGAACTTTTTCTTTTTTCAAATTCGAGTTATAAAATAAAATCCCCTTGAACTCCAAAATGTTCTTATTTCTGCAGAAAAGTTAACAAGCTAGGAAACTGGGCAAAAAAACACTCTAATAATCCAATAAAACACACAATTTCCTGACAGATGTAAGAGAGAAAAAAAAAAATCAGCTCTTCGAATGGTAGAAATAGTTCTGAGGGTTCTGTGCTCTTTTCCACAATGACACCACAAAGTAGTAAACTCTAGGACGTGTGTATCTTGATCTAAAGCTCAATATCACCCCCCCCCAAAGAAAGCTCTAAATTACAATGTCTGTATAATAACAGTTCAATCAAGGAAGGCTGCTTTGCCATGGATACAGTACCATTACGATGAGGGTTCTGGGTCTACTCATTTCATCGTCACTTTCCAGAGGCACGCTTTCGTGGGATGGTTCTTCCTGGCGTCCTCTACAAATGTGTGGACAGCTCCTCTGGACCACAGAGCGAAAAGCTTGCAGCAGAACAATGCTGGCAGTGCAGCCCATCGCTGCATCCTGGAGCCTACAGAATAACTTCTATGTTGATTCTATGTTTGAAAAACAGTGGCTCCTTGTCCCTGAGCACAGCCTACACTGCAGCTGCAGCCAGCAAACCCTCCAATCGCTTCCTTGAGCTCTGATCATCTGATCACGGCCAAATAGCTTGGATGCAGAGATGGGAAAGATTTGATCTATGGCAACTGAACGCACTCAAGAATATCAGAGCATTTTGCCTGGAGAGTATTTCTCAATTCATTTTGAGAGGATGCTTTCTGTTTCATACAATGGCATATTTCGACTCCTGCTTTACAGAGTTGCAGAAATGTATCTTTCCCACTCAGACACACAGAAATAAGTCACTATTTTTCAAGTTAAATGACTGATGATCTGACTTTATGCTGACATTTTTTCCCAAAGCAAGTCAGCATCATATAGAGTGAAAAAAATCACTGTATTTTTAAAAATGCAAGTACTTCCTGAAAGAAATTTTGATAGATACCTGATTAAGTAAGTGGCTGGGATTTTACTTTTCATAGCTCATAAGTTCCTGCAAAAAAAGCCAAACAAACAAACAAAAAAAAAAACTAGTTCATGCAAAATGCAGATTACCCTGAATCAATGTGATTTATCAAAAGTATGCACACGTTAACGAAATCCCTGTGAGAGGCACCAGTGTTCCCCTGAGACTTCCTTTCAATAGCATGGTTGTTCTGTTCCCACACATACAGTTCTAATACATTTTTATATTTACATAGGCAGCACGGCTAGCAGCACTGAAAATATCTCTATCACTAGGGTCACTCCTGCAGTCTGCCAAGATGACCTTTCAGAAAAAGCAGCTGCAAAGCATTTTAACATCCTGTCAGTGAGAATGCGGGGCTTCGTTAAGGACTTTGAGGTCTTTGTTAGTTAACAGTCTAATATTCTCCGACTTCTGCAAGACTAGTCATTTAGGAGGGAATCAGAGAGGGATGCCTAGAAGTCACGTGACCCATCTGGAGTGGCCACAAGATCTAATGGTATACTGAAAGAGAATAGGACAGCAGGGGATATTTGCACTAAAAATATCTCATGGAAAATGGATTTTGCTTACATGTGGGGAAGCATGAAATCCCCAGTAGGATTTTCAATGTTGGGAGCTCTCTGCCAAGCTAATTGTTTCAGCATAGCTCTCAGAGATCTTAAAGGGAAAAGGGTTGTCCTTGGTCTCTGGGCTCCCCAGAGTGTAGGGTGCTGCAGGAAGTTCAGGGGAGATTGTTTTGCTGTAAGCGGTGGCCACCCCAGCAATAGGAAAGTCACTTCCACAGAGGCAACTAACCTGATGCTCAATTAGGCACTAATTGCTCAGTAATTTGTCACAACACAGCGTCATTTTAATTGGTACGTTTGCCAAAGAAGTAAAGCACATTCCTCCCCCCGCCTTCAAGAGTTACTGGCTGCCAGTAGTTTTTTGTCTCTCTTGGTTTTGAGCAAACATATTTTAGTGCTGGAAAAAGAAGAAAAACATGCTAATGTTGCTGGCAAGTCTCTAACTTCCTCCGGACCTTTTGTCAGAGTGCCCGGGGTACTAATCTAAACCATTTTTACTCCAAACAACGGAGACATTTACTGAGGAGAGGCTACAATTTAGCCTGTCTAGCTTGTGTGTATTGAATATCTATATATAACAGTATCCACCAGTGACAAAGTACAGAGTGGGATTCTGTTTGTGCATGTGTCATCTCAAACAGGATGGTTTCTCCAAGGCTGATTGTCTGTGTCTACCGCACCCACTCAGTCCCATTCACATGACTTATCACTTTCCAGTAGCTTCTGTAGGTTCTGATCTTCTTGGATATGAGCACATGGATCCAGTGCACCAAGCGGATGGCAGGAAGTGCTCTGCCACCAGCTCCAGTGGCAAACTGGCCAGGAAAAGCGCTCAGCTACAATCGCGGGTCTGGCAGGGAAGATGCAGTTTGCATCTCAAACTTCTTTCTAGTCACCTTTCTAAATCTGGCTAACCCTCCAGGGTAGCATTTGGAGTTAGATGTTTTGGCAGATGTCATGTCTTTAGGGAAACAAATGAGATGCTTTCTAGCCATTAGAGGCCTGTTTTCGTTGATCCTTCTTTGTCTCTGAGGAATTCATCCCTGTTGCTGATGGACTCTCTTTTCTCCCCTATCTTCTCTCTCTTCTCTCTCCCTCTTCCTTCCCTCTGACCATCTCTTCTCCTTAGTCTCTGTTATCAAGTTAAGGGAACATTCTAGAATTAGTTTCTTTGGCATACATACCTGTCTCTTTACATGAATTGTGCATGGGCTCACCAACAAATAACTTTTGGAGACTTTCCTTTGCTTTATTGTCTGCCTCTTTCCCTTAGCAGGGTCTTATTTAATTATTCAATACAACATTGATTAAATGGTAAGATTTTTAATATATGGTCCTTTATATTGCCCTATATATTGTCCTAGAATTAGAAATAGTGGGACTAACAGTGTATAATGCTTAATTTTTCAAAGAAATAAGGAAAACTAGATTTTATTTTAGGTTAGTAAACATATGTGATGTTATTTCATATATATATTTTTATATATGCATATATATATAAATAAATATATATATAAATTATATATATATATATATATATATATATATATATATATATATAAAATTTCCACCCAGTACTTATGAAATCTTAAATTCACACACACAGGAAAAATCTCATGTTTCAAGGTAGAGATGGTCATATAGTAAAGTACTTTTCATGAACACAGGAAATGGAAGAAGGCTGGAGGGAAATGCTATTGACAAGTCAGTATACTGGGGGAAAAGATCAAAGCTAGGAGCCTCAGTGAATAAATGGAAGGCAATGAGAACGAAAAAAATCATGAAACAACAAAAGTTTTTCTTAAAATCTGCAAAATAGTCTCAATCACCAGGAATGCGGTCTCAATGGACTACTCAGGCTGTACGCTGATCATCTCTGTCCAAGAAATCCAAACAAATATAGCTTTTAAAAAATTTGTCTACACTTTTTGATGTAAGAATTACTCAGCTCTAGATGCAAATGTTTTCTCCACTAGGATGGCACACACAAAGATTGTTGTAACAATAGGCAAGGAAATACAAGTTTAACTTAAATAAATAATGTCAACTGAAACTTCATTAAGTTACGTGAGAGCTGCAAATTAGATCTCTATATCTAATCTATCTTTATGATGCAGCTAAATCTATCTTGACCATCTCAAATTGGTGCGTGGTTGGGCAGGACAGAGATGATATATTATTCTCCCAAGACCTGCTCTCCTTAGCCTTCTCCAGGGCAGGAGACTGAGAGGCTCCCAGAGTGAGGACTCCTCCCTCATTCTGTCAGGTGTCAGCAACACTGAAAGCCTGAACTGGCAACAAAAGTTTGTCTTGTAAGAAGAAAGATGGAACTTACACTGAATATCTGAATATGAAAGGAAGCCTTACAAAATCAGCCTTAAGTGCTTTTGGACACTGTTTACTTATTGGTTTATACATGGTTAGCTTCTGCCTATTACTTTAAAACTTTCAGAGCCATGATTAGAACTCATATATGAAGATAACTCCATAGAAAAGCTGACCTACAGAGAGCAACAAATTGTTGTTTTGAACTGTGTGTCCACAAAATTCTTATTCTGAAGCCCTGACACCCAACATGGCCCTCTTTGGAGACAAGATCTTTAAAGTAGTAATTTTGTGTTGATTGAGGTCCTGATAGAGGGGCCCACAGGGTACTAGGACCAGTGTCCTTATAAAAAGAGATGCCAGAACTCCCAATCTTTGTCACCCACAGTGAAGAGGCCACAGAAATAGAGAGGTCAGTGGTATACAAAATAGAAGAAAATCTCTCCAGAAACCAACACGCATGGCACATGGAACTTGAATTTTCCACCCCCAGAACTGTGAGAAAATGAATTGCTGTTGTGAAGACCACCCAGTCAGTGGTTTTTGTATAGGAGCCTGACAAAATGACCTTACATGGGAAAAACCACATTCCAGCAGTGAAGCCACTAGTGTGTGAACTGTCATTTCCCTAGGAAAAGGTTCTCAGTCCCCTTTGGCTGGACTGACCCCTGCTCTCAAAGCACAGAAGTTACCATACACAGAACACAGCTTCTCCACATAGGGCATTAGAGGTCCTGACTTCAAGTTTAAGGTGGTGGATGTTGTGTTTTCTTGTATCTCTTCCCTTTGAATAGCAAGGGAAGTTGTCCCTAGCAGAATAAAAGGGAATATATGGATTACAATAAGGAAAAGACCTGTGCAGTTTAGTTGGGGACAGGACACCTTCAGCAAATGAGAGTTCCTGAAAGATAAAAGTGATCAAGAACCCAAAGCAAAGGGTTCTGGAGGGACTTACATGCCGAGCAGGAGGACACAGAACACAGAGGTGCTCCTCTTCGGAACAGAGGCCATGCAGGGCTCCCAGCCTGAAGAAGCAAGCATGGGTGTATTCTGTCCTTGCAGTCAGAACACTAAAGTCCTGCTTGACAGCACCTTAAGTTGGCACATTAAGCCTCAGAAAAGACCTCTGATTATTTTGCCTTTGGCCACAGGACAGGGGCCTGTCCCAGCCTGCCGGCAGTCTGGCTCCCACAACTAAAATCAGTATTACCCTAGCTCATGGTTCAGGTCAAGAATGTGTTCTATCATTCCAACACTCTGGAAGGTTGAGACCAAAGGACCATAAGGTTAAGCCCAGAATGAGAAACCTGGTAACTTAGTAATACTATGTATTAAAAAAATGTAAAATGTGACACTCAGTACAAAGGCCCTTGGTTCAATCTCTAGGCCTGTGGGGAAAAAAGAGAGAGCTTGTCCATCAAGTGTCAGTCTGACCAAGTGAAAGAAAGGCCTCTAACATTCATCCTCTCTCTGGTTCCAGAGCCAGCTGGAAGAGAGAACTCGGCTTATATTTTGGTTAATTTATAGAATAACTGACAGGACATATGATTAATATAGACTGAGCAATATGATTCAAGTCTATGAAGATCCTTTTCCTTAATAGCAGCCTGGTGGAAAAGGCAGTCAGCAAAGCACAGTAGAGAAACTTACAGCGAG